TGACATTCAAGTATTATGGCAAGGAATGATTTAACTAGTACATGTTTCCTACCTGGTAGAGGTCTTACAGTCTTAACTTAAAATCCCTAGAAGTTACCACAAGAAACAATTTTTCAAAAAGACTTTTGAAATAATATTTTGTTTCTAAGATATGTTATGGAAGAGCAGTGATATTAAGTATTTTTTATACTTATTAACTGCATTACTATGGTATGGTGTGATATGGCATTACAGTGTTGATTTTTGTGAAACTGCATGTTGCTGTCTTGTACTGCCATGGCAGCTAATACTTCTGCTTTCTAAACCCTCTGGAAGTGTTTTGTTGAATGATGTCCACATTGTTAGTCTTCCAGAGGCAACTTGGGCAGTGTAAACTTTGCAAATTCTAGTTAATTGTATTCAAATCTGATTTATGCTGTGAACATTTTACATATTTTGGATTGCTAAAATACACCAGTGAAGGTTGGGAGGAGTTTCTGCTGGTTGAGTCTTAATATATTTGACAACTTATTTACAGCTGTAGAGTTGATCACTGCTTTATATAAAAACTTCCAGCGACTTGCTGTTTAACATCTTGAAAAATAGGTTTTGGAACCTGTTTTGACTCTCTGAGAAGAAAAGAGCAGCTGTTTCAGTTCATTTGTGTAGAATTGGTCCCTGAAACCTTCAAACAGATACTTAAAAACACTTGTCTGTATGTGCATTCAAAATATTTTAAATCTTTTGACATCTGACTCTGGAAGCATTGACACATCCTTCTTTTAAGTTACGGAGTATGTTTAGTACTACTTGGGATTAGACCCAGATTTTCTGTAGCTCTAAGGGCTCTGCAGAGCTGACTGTCGAATTGCTGAGTGGCATGTAGAAGTGTACAAGTGCTGTCTGGTGTTTCAGATTGAAGATAAAGAACATCTGTTGTGAGTTGGGAATAGTACCTACTCTGTCCTAAGGTTCATTCATTTCAGGAGAATTACGAACCAATGACAGGATATTTTCTCCAGAAGTGCTCAGGAATTAGGCATGGCCATAACTACAGGGCATTGCAGAGCTGTAAAACGTAAGATTTGTGGTGGACTATTCAGTTAAACATCTTGTAAAAGAGAATACAAAAAACTAGTTTTTGGAAGGTATTTTACAGTATTTAAAAAATACTTTCCTGTCACCATTTTCCCCTTCCTTTTCTTGAATGGTTTTGGCCTCACACCTCGCACTTGTCATCCCTCCTCAGTTACATGTTGGATTACTGCTCATGTTTTCTGTTTTCGGAGTCTAAAGTTAAAAAAAACAGACATTCTCATGTACTGACTAAAATTTGGGATGTTGTGATACTAATTGTAAAGTCTGCATCTTTACTTCTTGTGGCTTGATAGAAGGCACAAAAGGCAATGGCAAGATGTCTGTACTATGTGCGTATCACGGTGGGAAGTCTCCTGTGGTGGGTCTGGCTGTGTGGCTCACCTGCCTGCTCCCCTGTCATCTACCCAGCAGGACACAGTCACCACTCTGTCCAGCAATTTGGTGGTGGGACATGATGGGTGGTAGCTGCATTTTGGTCACCTCATGAGTGGTGTTTCCAGTTGGTTAAGGAGGAGAGTGCCCGGAGGGGAGGAAAGCAGGGAGCAGCCCAGCTTGTGGGTGAGGCTCTTCGGTTGATAGGGAAAAAGATTTTCAAAGATGTTAGACTTTCTTCTGGACTTTTACCAGTAATTGGCACGAGTTGTCTTAAGAAGTGCTATCCTACTGAAAACAGGACAATAATAAAAATAGCAAAAATACTGGTTCAGTCACTGTTGGTGATGCATGGTTTTCCTATCCTAGGACATATTCGAGTAAAAGCTGATGTTGATGTGCTCTCACACAATGATTTTCCCATTAGCTGTGTGCAATTTTTCTAAAACTTTCAGAGAAGCCTATTTGATGTTATCATAACTACTGTAAAAATGAGATCCGTCACTTTAGTTACATGCATTTACCTACCTCGATAACATTTTCTTATTCTTGCTATGAATTCCAGTGCATTTTTCTCCCTTAGATATGGTAGAATTGTACATTCCTAATCTAAGATGACATGTATTAATTAGCCTACTCAAGCTCCACCATGTCAAGGCTGTTTTGCTGGTTTGGGGGAATCTGAGAACCAGGAGGAGGTGGTGCTGGTGCTGGATGGCAGGAGCTCGAGGGGTTGCGCCTGTGCTGCTGTGCGCCTGCTGCATGGACACAGATGAACTGGGAAGGGGCAGACAGGTTTCATGTGTCCACTTCATACTTGATGGCCCAGTGCAGACCAGCCCTCTGAACTGTAGCATTTGTACCTGGGCACAGAAACGGAGCCAGCCATCTCAGAATGCTCTCAGCACCATCCTGGGACTTTGGTTGGTTGGCAGTGAATGATAGAGGAGCATTAAACTCTGCAGCTAAAATGCAGTGGCATATAAATTTTGTGAAGAATTACTATTGTGAGAAAAGGACATTTTTTGTCTATGTTGTGTGGTGTTACTGTCTTTTCCACTTTTAAATTTCTTTGCTTCAAAAGTAATTCCATTTTAATATACAAAGCAAAGTTCCTAAGGTGTCCTAGAATAGGTAGGCAAGTGGTTTCAATAGGGTGGGAGAGGGAAATAAGGCAATGAAGCATACACAGACATCTCTGTAGGGTTTTTATTTTTGTCAGTTTACATGTAAAATTTGAATAATGATTGTATTTCCTATTTTTTCCTCTTATTCTGCCACTGTTCTTTTCTGTTAATTATGTAATTTCATCCCTTTTGTTTTCTATGATCTGATTATCCAATTCACTCCATAGATTACGATGAATAATCAGGTCATTTGGGTTCATGGGTCTAAGGTTTTACCCTAAATATCAGGTTTATGAGTACAGTGATACTTGGGATAGTGAGTGGAGCTGCAGACGAATTGCAGATAAACATTTCCTTTATTTGTGAGATGTCTGCTTTAGTTTGTTCAAAGATTTACACCAGTCAAGATCCCATCAGGGGGTTACCCTGAATGACTGGAGTGGCCTAAGTTCTAACATGTAAGGTGTGCTTTCTAGGGCAGATAGTGTCATAGATGTGGAAGTGATAATAAAGGGTTAGTGAAGTGATAGAGATCTTTACATTATAAGCCAGTAAGATGAAATGAAGGGGAGCTTTTTTTTAAAATAGGAATGGAAATGAGTCAGGGGTTCTCCACTGTAATTTCTAATATTCTTCAGCAGAGAAACTTGTACATATGTTTTATGTTACATACGTTACAAGAAAAAAATTTGTTTAGTTAGTAAGCAACTTTTTTTTTAATAAGAAAAATTAACGGTTTCACCCAAAACAAAACTGGATGTAAACTCTAGAGAAGATTTCTCCACTCTAGTCATGCTGTGATGGTCTGGTAAAGAAGCAGTGATTCCTTGAATAGCATGAAAACTAGTGGTACATTTAATATAACCAGACTGCTTTCTTACCCACATAAAGGTTTGGTATTTAGATTTGAAGAAGTGTGTTAGGGGGAAATAACTGAGAAATTTAAAATCTGATGGAGACAAGACGGAGATAAAAGCTTCTGCAATGTTGGCAAGAAATCCATCTGAATGTTTAAGCTGAATATTGCTGGAGCAGACACAGAGATTTGGTGAATTCATTAAGTAGGTACCGTCTTTCCTGTTAGTGACACATTATGTCTTTCATTGGAAGCTCTTACTAGTTGGAATAAAATACACAGACAGCACTGTAAAAGAGTGCAGTTTTTTTCGTTTGGCCTGTTATGACTCTCAGGACTGAAATCTTACAAAGGTAAATCAGGCTTGATACAGAGACAGTAGGGGTCTAGAATACAATATTATTGTCTGGAGTGTTACAGTCTGGAATATTATAGTCTAGAATACAATTTTACTTTTTTTTGGTGTATAGTTGTCTTCAAAAGAACACTTTTGAATGAGCTGTGACACACTTCTTTTTAAATTAACAGCATTATCTTATACTTTTACCACACTACCATGTTAAAACAAACTATATGTACTCTATGTCTATGTAGAGAGAGATATAAAATCACTTCTACTAGTTTCCATAATCTAATAGCATCTTAAAATGTTATTAAATCACAGCCATTCCTATGGTCACATTGACAGTGGAGTATTTAAGATTCATTTTTATGAAACAAATTAGGAGCCTCATTAAAAGTCTCACTCCAGGAGTTAACTGGCCACCTTACGTTGTAAAATGTCAGCTGATTTGCTCTATATAAAAAAAAAATGTAGTGTTGGATTTTTCCATGCAGCCAACTCACCTACTAAAATGATGGTACTGGAACATTGCAGTTGCATATGGCTACAAGCATCAAGATATAGAGGGATTTCAATCAGAACAGTGGGGGGGAAAAGTGAAAAAAGCAAACTGTTAACTTGGGAAATCAGAGGAAGCTGATACGGAAAAGTACCTTGATAGTGCAACATAATATTGTTCAAATAAATCCTTTGTCTCATGGAGGAAATATGCAAGCTTTTTAATATTTCCCATGATATGTTAGTAAAGTCTGGGTTTATTCTTGAATAAAAATACATTACATAAATCTGTGGTGTTTCAATTAAAAGAAATAGGGCAGAATAGGATTTAACAGGATTGCATAGTGAACCTAATGAGTTCAAGATCCAGCAGTGCTTTACAGTTAGTGCTAATACCATTAGTTCATAATTCTGTCTATAATATTTGGCTCTGAGCTTTTAATAAATCAGCCAGACTGGAACCACTTGAAACAGTTGAACCTGAAAACCCTAGATTGTTGGTCTCAAATAAATTAGCTAAATTAAAATAACATTTACATAATCTGTAATACTTCTTATGGTTAATGCAAGCAATAGGTTTAATTATATTCCCTAACTGCTCTTGCTTCTAAGGTCTGTTTGATTTCAAAGAGATTAACTCATTATTCCATTACAGCACAGTAGCCAAGAGCCTTACTGTATTTTTTTTCAGTAAAAAATGTACAATGTTATATAATTTTATCCACAGGTTTTAGGACCTGCCCCAAAGTGGTGTTCCTTCTTGGACAACTTGACTGAAGAACTGGAAGAGAATCCAGAGAGCACAGTTTATGATGATTACAAATTCGTTACCAGAAAAGACCTTGAAAATTTAGGTAAAACAGTTGAATATCCTCTTTAGCTGACTTACTTGTTCAGTTTTTGATCATTTACACATGTATATTTTGCAAATCTGATGTGACATATGAGAACTGTTACAAATTCATGGGCAGTAGTTTCCTCCAGTCTTCTTGGTTATTAATATATCATCCTGATGGCTTTATGTTCTTTGGTGCCCAACCAGTGCAACACTAGATGTTTGGTTTTGTCAGGTTTTTATCCCAAGAAGATGATTGATACTTGCTGATTTAATATGCCTAGGAATCTGTTATGTGTGCTTTTAGACAATATGTGGAAGGCTTAGGAAGATAAGTTGGTTTAGTTTTCAAAATATTTTTGAGGTGCTCAAATAGTGTATTGGAACTCACAGCAGAATCTGCCAAAGGCTTCCCTAATACAGTATATGGGATAGTTTCCAGAAAATACAAATCATTCTAGGGCTAATAGAAGCACGGTTTGAAGGAACTGGACTGCTGGAAATTACATTGCAGAAAAGATAAGTACACTTCTCCCAAGCTAGTTAGTCCCTTTTCTGTCTGTTATGTGTTTTGATTGCAGTGTTTTGCTCCAGTTAAATTAATTTACCCTGAATATGCGACTTGAGGCCAAACCCGAGAAGGTCATCCAGGGCTCTTGTATCTTTAGCGCTTGCAGTTCCAGAGTAGGTAAGGGAATAAGGCAATGTAGTATGAATTTATACAGAGACTTGACTTGAAATTCACTGAAACTTAGCCAAACTCATTTCCCCATGAATGCAAGCTTTCAAATGAAGAATCAGCTTAAGGGATGCTTTATATTTCATGTGTCAGGGTTTCTTTGTATTACTTACCATTAGCTTGAGTACTTTCATTTTGGAATACTCAGGAAGATTGTTTCCTGGAAACAGCTAAAAAAATTTCTGGAGACAACTTTGCTTTCTGAGACACACAATAGTTTCTCACTTTTTTGCCATTTGCTTTTAGAAATAGTTTGTTAATTCTTACTATCTAAATATTTGGGATCTGCAGAGGATATTTTGCTATAAAAGAGCTTTTCCTTTCCTCAGCCTTTGAATTTTTTAGAGATCCATGGAAGGAAAATCAGAGAACTGCTAAGTATTTTCATTCCTACTAAGGTTGGGGCCTAGGGTGACATTTTTATGTCCTGATGTGGTAGTGTATGTTTTTCAACATGTTGATTCTTCAAAGATAGTGACCCAAGGCAAAACTCTTTAATTAAAAACATCTCTATAGCACAGTAAAAAAAGTGACTGTCAAACATCTATGGACTTAAAAAAATCCTCTCTAATTTTTTTGGTAAACTTCTATGGAGCATATTGCTTGCGGGCATTTTTTAAAGTGCACAGTAACATGTATTATGAGAAGAAAACTGGATTTTGTTGCTCTGAAGAGCTCAAATTTCCTGCTGGCCAAACTGTTTCCATTTAAAAAAATATTTTTATTATTTTTTTCATTTCTACTTAGTCTTGATATATTGGATGTGACTTAGATTGATGTGTTGTATTGGCAGTGCTTGTTTGTCTTGAGTCAGGTAAGTGAAGTTGCTAGCTTGGAATAGGATTTTATTCTATATGAAAGCTCTTTGAAATCCTCTGTAACTTTTTTCCTAGGTCTTGCTCATCTCATTGGATCATCATTGCTCAGAGCATATATGCATGGCTTTTTCATGGACATACGACTTTATCATAAGGTAAATATGGCTGATCCTTGTCAGTTTTTACTTTTAACAATAAGGCTGTTTTTTTCTTGTTTCTGGTTTGTTCTTTTTTTGTTTCTTTCTCCAAATAATGGACTGTATCCTGTATTAATCATATTTTCTTTGTACTTCCCTCTGCTTGTCCAAAGGCCAAAATGATGGCCAACCCCTTTGCCTATGAGGAATACAGAAGAGAGAAAATAAGGCAGAAGATAGAAGAAACACGTGCACAAAGAGTTCAACTAAAGGTAACTCCTGTAAACAATGAGTATACTTCTGAGAAAACTATTAATAAAGAGTAATATACTCAAATGTATCTCAGAGATGTCATGACTTAGGATTTTATTCTGTTTATCATCGGAGACACAAAGTAATGTATAGAACTTTTTAAATGCAGCTGTAGCATTTGCATGTGTTGTAATTCCCACAGATGTGACACTGATCCCAACCTGTAAAAGAGCAGCTCTCATCACATTTGCCGCTTGAGCAGATAAACCCACTGGCAAAACTTGCAGCTTCTACTTCTGTCATTAAACGAAGTGCCTTAAGCCACTGAAACATAACACTCTGCAAAGAGATATTTAAAAATAGTGGTGTGCTCACGACTAGTACCTTTCTAGACTGAATTGGCTCAACATGTGAGGAGAAATAATTTCTTTTAAAGGACTAAGGCTGACACGTTACAAGAAAAAGATGATACAGAAGTTGGGCTCAATTTCTCTCCTTGCTCTGTTGCTTTGCTAGTATCTAGAAATATTTTGGACTAGTCAAGGGTCTTTTTGGCAAGACCTGTAAGATTGAGTAATAATCCTCTCTACCCCACTTATGTAAAGCGTGTAGGGTTTTGCACATGTAAAAGAATAATTTACTGATTCATTGCTTTCCTCTATTTAGAAACTTCCAAAAGTCAATAAAGAGCTTGCACTGAAGCTGATTGAAGAAGAAGGAGAAGAGCAACACGTTGCTAGAAAGAGAAAACAGAAGGTAAGCCTTTATTTTAGAGACTTCTCTAACTAGGCGCACAGAAATAGTGATGTTTACGGTACTGATTTTTTTGTTGTTGGGGTTTGTTGTTGTTTCGGTTTTTTGTGTTACCTCGCCAAATAGATTAAAAAGTCCATTGTTTCTGTTTCTTATAAGTAACTTTTTCTAGTTGGTGGCTTTAAGGTGAATTTCGCTGTAGCAGCAGCACCAAAGTACTTACTGTGAAGATGGTATGGGCTTTGTAGTACTCTAGAAGCAGACTCAATAGCAAAGTTGCTTGAAAAAGTCCTGTTGCTTACAGTTGTTTCTATTTTGGTGGTGATCGGGACAAGATAGATGTTGTCTGTAAAACTGAAGGTAAAATTGCCTTTCTTGGCATACATACATTTTACAGAACAGCCCAAATGGTTTGCTTTTATGCAACAGGGATTCTTCTGGATGTTGAAAATAATCCATTTTTATCCTAAGTGAATTCTAAATGAAAAAATGAGTTAACATTTAGTATCTTTCAGGGAGAGACTTTCTATAGGCAGCACTTAATGGGTGATCATTCTTACAGGAATATAGCATTTGTGAAAGTCAGGCATTAGGTTCATATGGCATCTAATGAAATCCTGTGTTATACAGTTAGTAGAAAGCATGAACTAGTAAAAAAAAAAAAAAAAAAGTGAAAAAGTTGTTGGTGGTAAAACATTAAATGCAGGCTACCTAAGTCAGTGTTAAATTGGCAGTATCAGTTCAATAAATGGAGGCTGTTTTGGTTAGGAGTCCATAGAGATTGTGTTACCAATGTGAACTAAAAAGGGTATATATAGAAATGCATGTTCTGGTTATTTTCTTGATACAACATTAGAATCTTGTGAAGAGCAATTTATTTTAGGCTTTGGGATTTAATTTTTGGCTGCGTGTCTGCAAGTCACACATTTGCAACTGTTTCTGTGTTTGAAATTTATACTTAATGTTTTCTGTATTTTTTTTCCCCTTTGTTAGGTAACTGCAAATTTAATGCTAGGGTGGGATGAATGTGGTGGTATAAGCTTGGCAGTGTTGAAAATACCAACTTTTTATAATAAAAAGCTGTGTATTCAATGATTTTTTAAAATGACGACAAACTGAACGGTTCCTCCTTCAAGAATGCTATAATTTACTGTGTGTTTGAAATGCATGAAGCTGCCTTTTCCATTCTATATTTGAAGGCAGTGAAGAAAAAGTGTTATGTATAGAAACACTCATGTATTTACAGTAAAACAGTAGTAGCATTGCATAAAGGCATGTTTGCCCTGATAATTTGTTGTACATGTTGTAGAATCATCCTTGTCAGGCGGGGTATTTGCCTCAAAGGTACTACTGATTAGTCAATAGATATCAACATGTCTCCAAACTAGTTGGCTTGAATGTATGAGAAACATTAATTCAAAAATGTTGGTAATTGTGTCTTTAAGGTGTCTATAGTATGCATTTAAAAACCCTGTCTTGCTTACAGGTAGCTTGGAATTATATTTATTTCATCTTTTGTGAAAGTAATAAAATATAATATGCATAAATCTTGATTTTATATGACCTAGAAGGATAAAACAACTGGCATTTCCCATGCTGGTTTTGAGTTTCATTTAATTAAAAAAGCGTTACTTACTTTTCCAATACCTGTTTTAGAATTTATAACTCGCTCTTGCTTTGCTTCTTTTCCAGAATCTGCCTAGCCTTCTTAAAGACGATCGGTTTAAGGTCATGTTTGAGAATCCAGATTTCCAGGTGGATGAGCAGAGTGAAGAATTTAGACTACTTAACCCACTTGTTTCTAAAATAAGTGAGAAAAGAAAGAGGAAACTGAAGATCTTGGAGGAGCTGGAAGCACAAGAACAGGTAAAATATTTTCCAATTGGATTTGGAAAAATCCACAGGGTTTTTTTTTTTCTTTGTTTGAAACATTCAGATTTTTCACCCTAGAAGGAAGGAAAGATGAAGGCAATGCAAGAATGTCTGATGAGCTACAGTAATTAAGTGTAATCTCTAACGTTTTTATGTTACCTTAGTTTTCAGATGTCAACAATGCTGTGTCTCCATGAATATAGGTTTGAAAAACGTAAAATGTGTAGGTGGAAACAATTTTATAATGTATCTTCTGCTTCATTTGCTGTGTCTGCTTTTGTTCAAATTGTAGTTCTCTTCAACCATATCTATGTAAAAGCTGTCACGTACTCTTAATTGTGGGAATGGTTTGCAAAGAAAATTAGTTAATGATTTCTTATTTTATACTATTTTTGTCTGCAGGAAGAGGAGGAAGAACTAGAAGGAAAAGCAAGTGATGCAGAAAGTTCTGAGAGTTCAGATGATGAAAAAGGCTGGGTTGAAGAGGTCAGGAAACAGCGCAAGCTTCTACGCCAAGAGGAAAAACTAAAGCGGCAGGAAAGGTCCAAGGAAGATCAGCAAACATTACTGAAGCCTCAGTTTTTTGAGATTAAAGAAGGAGAGGAATTCAGAAGCTTCAAAGACTCCGCCAAAAAACAAAAATTAATGAAGTAAGACTAATGTTCCTTTTTGAATAGCTGGGGGTGGACGATTCTGAAGTATTTCTCTATGGTGCAGGCCAGTGGCATTTTGGCTTGGAAGCACTTATGGTGACACATTTGTTGAAAGCTTTGTTTTGTAGTTAAATCTAAAGCTTAAAGTATGACAGAGAAACAACACAAATTAGATGAGTAAGAGATTAATATTCTGAGCCACATTTGCAGTACCATGTACACCCACCAGTGTAGGTGAACTGCGGCTCTCACAAATAGCAACAGTGATGTCTGTGATACTCAGTGTAGGTGAACTGCAGCTCTCACAAATAGCAACAGTGATGTCTGTGAGACTGGCTGTATTTCTTCACCAGTGTCAGTGTGAGGTTGACAGTCTGGATGATAGTTATCTTACTCTCCAAAAGGATGCAGAATGCTGCATGACTAGTCACTAATTGGGGGTAGAATCAAGGTGGTAAAAGAAAAATCATTTTGTCTCAGTATTTTTTGGCATCCGAATACTTCCACAAAACTGTGCTGTCCTTCTCTTGTCAGGTCTTACTATTTCAATTTTCTTTTTCTAGTGCAAAAAATCAGACTAGGTTTTTTGTGGTTTATTTTTTTTTAAGTTTGGATTTCCTTAAGTTGACAATCAATTGAAGTAATTGAGTAGTGTATAAAGAACACATCAAACTAAAGAACTTTACATTGAAGTGCTTAATGCCTGCAAATCTTGAAGATTATCTTTTTCTTCAGAGGCAAGTTGAGCCCTTCAGAAGGTGAAGTTTGATAGCCTTGTATTAATTGGGATGTACACACTAATATTAAAACCTTGAAAGACAATAGCTTCAAAGTTCTTGTAGCACACTGGATGCAGAGCAGAATTTTGACTAATGTTGGAAACAAGTTGCTGGATTAGATGGATCTTGTCATAGCCATTATGGTTTTACTTAGAAGGAAGTTGTACAGTCAAAGAAAAGGAAGTAATATATATATATAATATAATGGGGCTATTTCTTTGTGCTACTAACAGCTGATTCTACAACCTGGTTGTTGCATGATGGAATTTTTCTGGAAATATGTAAAGAATCTCTTGACAAAAATTCAGACTGTCCCTTAAAAGAGCAAGTTTTAACATGGAACTATCATATAAAACAATCTTTTACTGTTACTAAAACACTGTTTCTATAGCAGTCTAGTAGTCTGATTTCCATGTTGTACCTGTCAGATCTCTTGACTTAGAAGCAGTAGCTTTGTAAATTTGTATTTACAGCAGTTCTGCAGAACTGATTCCCATGTTTTCCTTAGGTGGTTTTTAACAGCAGCTGGTTTCACACAGGGATTTTTCTTTGTTCTTTATGTTGAAAATACTGCCTCATTTTGGACTTCAACTTTCTAGGATTTCTCCATCAACTTTTTTCCAGTTCTTTTTCTTACTTCCGCTACTAACAGCTGATTCTACAACCTGGTTGTTGCATGATGGAATTTTTCTGGAAATATGTAAAGAATCTCTTGACAAAAATTCAGACTGTCCCTTAAAAGAGCAAGTTTTAACATGGAACTATCATATAAAACAATCTTTTACTGTTACTAAAACACTGTTTCTATAGCAGTCTAGTAGTCTGATTTCCATGTTGTACCTGTCAGATCTCTTGACTTAGAAGCAGTAGCTTTGTAAATTTGTATTTACAGCAGTTCTGCAGAACTGATTCCCATGTTTTCCTTAGGTGGTTTTTAACAGCAGCTGGTTTCACACAGGGATTTTTCTTTGTTCTTTATGTTGAAAATACTGCCTCATTTTGGACTTCAACTTTCTAGGATTTCTCCATCAACTTTTTTCCAGTTCTTTTTCTTACTTCCAGAAGATGAAGCGACTTCTTACTCCTGTCAATCTTTCTTCCCTATCAGGAGAAAATCCAGTCTGGGCACTCTTTGAGTATTGTAGGTTAAGGATATTTTTTAGATTGTGCTTAAATTCATAGTCATGTTAAGGTGACTCAGGCCTGAGACGTGTCAAATGACACTGTATTCTTGTTGCTGTTGAAATACATCAAAAAAAGGCAGTATGGCTTCAGCTTACTCACATGCTGTTCTTTTACAAAAATTCAGCTGCTGTCCTCTAATGGAAATACTCAAGGATACTCAATTTGAAGTGTTAATATTTAATTTTGTTCAAAACATGGAAGGCTTAAATGTGAACAAGGATACTGAAAGTTAAGTAAATAAGTCCCAGACAGGTGTAAGGAAGTGAAAAATTTAGAAAAGACGAGTACAGTGTAACACAGGACAAAGGAAATCCTTCGTCTGGTGTACAGACGCAGAAGAATCATTGCTTCAGCTTAGGAAAAATGAAATCAAGTACCACAGGCCTGGCCAGTGGATGGAGGAATATCAGCAGTGACATAAAGCAAGGGAAGAATTTTAAAAGACTGTTCTTAGGGAAAAGAGAATGTGTCTTAATATTCGCTGCTAATTTTTAGCAGAGTATTTTGCAAGGTGTGATGCATAATTATGGTGGCTTAGGTTAGATAAACCTCTGTGTGGTAGGTGCACAGATGGGATCCAATGTAAAATATTTGGAAAAAAAAAATAAGAAAAGGAGAAAAAATTAGAACAGAATATGATTACAAAAAAATGGATGTGACAGCATTACATCCTTTTAAGTTTTTCTGGGTTGCTGTCATTGAATTGTCTTTCCATGTTTGTTATTTTTCATATAAGCAATTTGCTCTGTATTCACTGAGCCCATTTGTGCTCATCCAAGCATTGTTCTTAGTATGGATTTTGATATTCCTCAAATTCTTAAAAGAAATTTAAAAATTAACAGCTAGTATCTGTTTCTTCTAATGTATAGCTGATACGATTCTGCAATGATAATGACTTTGCATATGTTTTGAGCTGACTTGTTTGTTTAATAAGCACTTTTACATATCAGAATGTTATGTAGAAAATACTTACATATGTTTTCTGCTGGCCTTATTCAGTGATAAGTAGTCAACATAAAAATAATTCCAATTTTCAGTACATTGCTTGAAAGACTGTAGTGGCATGTACAATCCGGTGAGGCTGGCATGTTTGTCTTTGATTTGATTTATCCAAGTTACGGAATGATGGTCTGTGACCAATATAATTAAGTACCTTAATACCATCAGTATGCATTTAATGGCTAGGTGTTCTTTTTTTCTCTAATCGTATAATGTTCTACCTGAGGAAACAGTTTATGGCTTACATAAAACTGGGTGTTTCTTTTGACATGTTACTGACTCAGCAAGGCTCCAAGCCCAACTTCTAATGCAGTGGTGCGTACTATAAATTTCTTTATAGCCCAACAGTCTATGCATTTCTTTGCTCAGGAAAGCTGCAAAACTAACTCCTGATTGTAAAAAACACCTTGCCTCATATCTCATTTTCCTTTTTAGCGCTGTTATGCTTACACATATAAAGCTGCAAAACTTTGCTTTGTTTACTTAATGCATGAGTTCCTTACATAATAACTTAAAAGAAATCCATAAAAGCAAAGGGATTTTATCAGTGTGCTAACAGGTCTTAAGATTTTCTTGGTGTCCCTTTAAAAGGTTTATTATTGAAGTTAGACCATGACAAAATTTAAAACTACAGTTCATACTTTATAAAGTATTGTCACAGTTTGACTCAGGTCCGACAACAATGTTCTCGATCCCCTCCCCCCAACCCAGGTAGGGAAGGAGAGAGAGAAAAAGAGAGAGACTTGGCTGGATTGAAAACTAAACTACACAGCTTTAATTAAAACACTAATGAATCATACAAGAAAATATATACAATTATATACAGATATATATTCAGGTATGGGCAAAAAGCCTCTCGCCTTCCCCCACCCCAGCAACTCCCACAGCACTTCCCTGAACTGGGAAGAGTCCCGAGGAATCCCGGAGCTGCTGCTGGAGAAAGAGCAGAGAGTTATGGGGGTCAGGAGATCTCGAGCCTAAGGGTCGACGGTGATGGATGAACAGAGTCCTCCCTGGACGCCGGCCATGGACGGAAGAGAAGGGGGAAGAAGAAGGAAGGAAGTTGTCTTCTGTGATCTCTGACCTTCCTCTGAGCTTACGAAGATATATGGAATGGAATATCTTTGGCCAATTTTGCTGTCCATCTAACTCAGCCTCCTACGGGGGGGTCACAGATCTCCCCATAGTGTCTGAGCCGGCAGAGTGCAGGTGCAGCCTTGAAGCCTCAGTAGTTAGAAAAACATTCCACTGTCTTATCAGCCTAGCAGAACACACTGTTGCTAGTTACAAGAAAGCTTACTGAAGGAAAAAAAAATCAGTAAAAAGAAAAATTGGCTTCATCCTGGCTCAAACCAGGACAAGTATGACAGTCAATGTATGTGTCTTCAGAAGTGGCTAAGAAAGTCCACAGAAGCATAGTTGACATTCCTAGGTATTGCTAAAGTAGAACACCAGGAAAAGTCCTGAAAAACTGTTCTCTTTATAATGAGGGAAAAAGAAATGCCTGAGCAATTTGTTTGTTTCTTACTGTAGGGTAGGGGAAGTTGTTAGTGAACCTCTCGAATCAATTTGTTGAGAATGTTTTGTTGGTTTTGTGTTTGTTTGTTTGTTTTAATTGTTTTTTAAAATCAAACCCAAGACCAACCCAGCTGTTGTGACATGTGTAATCCCCTATCATTTGAGGTCTGCACATTTTCAGATAAATACAACCATACCTGCATGTATTCAGTACAATTGCAACCCCCACAGTGTTTTGCAAGTATCTCCTCCTTTTAATTTTTCTCCTGACTGAAGCAGTATCTAGGCAGTCATGCTAAATAATTGCTGGGTAGTAGCCATATTTCTCCAGTTCTTTTTCAAAGGGGAGAAAAGTGGGACTTCACTTGAGTGTAGAAATCCCACCACAATGTTGGTGACTGATCTGCTGCCATAGTTAGCTCTGAGGCTTAGCTTGTCTTCCCGATTTGCACAGATGGAACAAGTTTTCACATGTACTCAACGAAAAATATACTACAGAAAAAAATACAACCAAAGTACCTAGTAATGAGAAATAAAGCAATTCTTGACAGTAATTTTTCATTGTTAGTCTTCCTTACATAAAATGGCTCATTAACCAAAATTCAGTGGACTTCAGCGGCTTCATGCGTAGGCCACAATCCATGAGCCCTTCATCCATAGTAAATGCCATTGGCTTTGGTGACTGCTAATGGTCCATGTGTTTATGATGGCTTTTTTCCACTTTAAAACCTGTCTCTTAGCCCTCTTGAGAGATATCTAATAAGGCACTAATAGCAGCATTGACAGCTATAGAATATTCTTTATTAGATTTAACAGAAATGTATTAAAATAGAATAAAGCTTAATGGATATTTCCTGGATTGATGAGTTTGCTTTGTAGAATTTACTGAGTTAGCTGAATGTTAGCTGAACTGACCATTGTATATTTCTTGAGCTCCCTGAATAGATTATGGTATTGTATATTTAGTAGAAAGATACCGAGTTGAAATTGTGCTTTGCAAGACAACGCACCTTGTGAAAGCCACATCCTTGGGTAAATGATTAGGTACAAAACTACCCGTCAGCAGTGCAGAAGCATCCTGTAGAGATAACAGTGTAACAGTAGATCTTGTGAGACCACCTGTGCCTGTGCAACTCCAGAAGATGTTAGGAATGCCACTTCAGCAACCACAGGGGCCCTCAGAGATCATCAGAACCACTGAGGAAGCCCCTCACCCACCTGTTGCACACCTGTAGTAAAGATACAAACATGTAATTAGTTCTAGGAAATGTTACAAATATGTATACATTTCTAGAAATGAGGATGAATATGCATGGTTTAGGTGTGTATCAGCTGAATTCTGTAAGTAAGGGGGATGCACAACTTTGAGAACATGCATTCAGCACTGTAATAGAGAATGTCTGCCCTCTAAAACTTAGGTTTTAGAGGGTTCTTTCAGCGACCAGATTTTATGGTAACAGCACCTCAAATTGCAGAAACTGATTTAGTTTACAGTTAGGAGAATGCTTTCTAAGTGTGCTGCAGAGTGAGCTTGTCCGATCATCCAAGCCACGTCGTATTGTCAGGTGGCACTAACTTTTGGTAGGACCTACTGCTAGAAGAAAGATAAGCCATGTTAGGACTCACAGGTGCCTTTAGGGAAGCTGGCTGAAGCCAGCACCAACCCTGCCAGCCTTACCCCTGTGCTGGAGGCTCTGCAAAAACAAGGTGTATTTACACTTCCCAGCTGTCCCAGTTTACACCCGACTTAACTGAAGTCTGCAAGGGTGATATTAAGTATCAGCTCACAACCTGGAGCTACTGGGGTATGTCCATGTGTCTTGCCTTTGTTCAGGCCATTAACTTTCAGTGGAGGAGAGCTGGAAGCAGTCTGAGTTTTGGCCACAACAGTTACCTCCTTCTTGGTAAAAATTAGCAAGCATTCAGTGCCTGAGGGGGAGGCTCTATAACAGTTTGCTTTCTCAAGCTAGCTGATGATGAGCACCATGTGCTTGAAGGTGTGTGCTCACATGAAGCTCCCCTCTGGGCCAGGGTCTGTCTTACTTATCACATTTGCCTGTTTGCATTGTTCTTTTATTCAGAAAACTGTGCATTAGACTGTTGCAGGTGCAGTGTATTTGAACTTAGTAGTTTGCCAGTGAAGTGATTCATTCAGTGATGAATTCATTCTGATGTATAGTCAACGTTATTTCCTTCCCTCAAAAGGGTTTCCAATTCAGAAATTTGGAAGATTTCAAGAGAACTATATATATCTATATCTATATATCTATCTTTTTAAAAATTGTGTATGTATCTATTACTGCAGCTGAATGTTTTTCTGATATTTCCTAGGAAACTGTAGCAATGGAAGGCTGTGGTTTCTTTTTTAACTAGAGTCCTCTTGCTTTTTTAGCACAAAACCCCATGAGCTTTATATAAAATCTGTGTTTCTACTGAAAGCAATATCTGGATGGGATGATTTGAACTTTTCTATTTACTGAATGTTTTTTTGGTTTTTTTAGATATCTGGCATTTCAGCGTTTCAGAGAAACTGATTTTAGTTTTTACTGAATTATCAAACTTCATTATACTGAAAATATAACAAGAATAGGAACTAATGTTAATTATTCTCTGCAGGAAGACTCTTGGAGATCGTTTAAAGCTTGAAGAAAAACTTGGCACGCTCAATGTCTCTGATACCACAGTAGGCAGCAAACAGGCAACATTCAAATTAAAGAAGGTGAGCTATATATATAATTTTTTTAAGATAATACACAACTAACTTTCGTTTTTGCATGAAAGAACAGGAACTTTAAAACCGTCAAACAAATGTCCCTCTTCATTTCTTTATAACCTGCCAACTGTTGTGCTTCTTGCCAAGAGAATGAAAGCCTCCGGTAGTACTCTCTGTGTTTATACCCTTATAACTCAGGCAGCACTCATAAAATCTTATGTTCCGGTGGAAAATACTGGCTTCCATCTTTTAATAGTTTATTTGCAGACATACCATCAGAAGCTTGTGACCTTACCTGACTTCTTCACCAGGCCTGATCAGATCTTGGTCTGCAGGTCCAAATGCAGTCAGGATGCTGTAGGTGACAGGCTTTCTCCTGGTTGATAATGTTGCTGCATCTCAGCATAGTAAAAACTGAGCTCTTAAGCACCTTTGTCATTGGATTTGTGCACAGTGGAGCAGAAGAATGAGTTCTTGTCCTGTTCTGCTTGCCAGGTTCCATTTGAAGTGGTTGACTGGTGCCTGTCTACCTTTCCCAAAGGGTTTTGATTTTCTGTCCTAAGGAATTTTGCAGATTGCAGACAGGTGGTTACTTTATAGCGTGGGCAGAGTTGAATGCATGTGTATATCTGCTACTGCTTGGAACAGTTAGGGGTTTTTTTGCCAGAAAATTGCTTTAGTACTGAAGAAAGGACATGTTATAAAAGCTGAAGACCCATATTAATTGGTAGTTGAGCTGACAAAATGTATTTCAGTTAAAAATGGTTTTCCTCAGGTAAGCAAGTCTCTTTGCTTTAATACATTTCTCCTTACCAGTGGTAAGATATTATTCTCACTGGTAAAGCTGTTGTCACAAGAATGACTAAGTAGTTATTCAATTGTCACATTGAGTATGCCTGAAAAAAAACACAAAAAAAACCCAAAACCAGATTTGTTGGACTATTTCTATCTTGTTTTACCTGATTATTGTGTATTTGCTGTTGTCCTTTTTCATCTGTTTTTGATTCGTGTGTTGACTGGAATAAGCCACAGATTCCTCTGCAGTGCTATGTAGATAACTATTCTAGGGATTTTACCAACTGCTGTAACTGATATGTTAGTGTCTTGCAGCTACTTAAATGGACTTTGCAAGACTTTGAAAGCACAGTCTTTTTTTATAAGAGCTTTAAAGCACAAAGCCTCAAGATCTCTTGCAATTGGTAGTGACCAATTAACTGTCACATTTTGCTAACACTTTTGTGAAGATTTGGGAGGAAGGTTGAGTAAGACAGATACAGCAGTGGTTCAGAATGCCATGCTTACTCAATTCTATCAGATATGCTGTAGCTTTAAGGGGTTTTTTAATTATGTTGCTGCTAACATATGTGGATTTTTTTTCTGACTGTTAACTGATGTTGCTGTATTGGAATACATACATTGTGCTCATTTGCATTAACAAGATCTTTTTTAAGTCTAGTCAAAAGAAAAACAATGCATCTACAGTGGAGGTCCTTACTCCTATTAACAGAATAGCAATATAAGACTCAGAAGTCTTCTCTCAAATAAACAGACCCTGTATGTATTTTCTGAATTCCCTGGGAATGGAGCAGGGGGAGCTAGGAGGAAGGCATGCTATGTGGTGGTATGCTGGGTCCTTTTCAGAGGGTGAGGAGATGAAACTGGCAAGGCAAAAAGGGGATTTTGGTGTTACTTGGATCATCGGCTTCTGCTTTCTGATGCCCTTTCCTTAAAGTGTAGGTCTGTTCAGGAGCAGGTAGAAATATTTAGTGGGGGAGAATTTTGCTTCCATAGGATTGGTATCACTCCAGCTTGATATTCAGTGGAATTAAGACTGAACTTGGCTGCTAGAGTTGTGGTATGTTAGCAGCCTCCTGAATGTCAGTAACCACTGACAGATCCAGCAATGCAATTGTTTGTCATTGATGTTTCACAGTTTAGTTTTCAGGGGATTTAAGGATAGTTTCTCAGTGTGGCATCCTCTTTTTCATATTCAGCATGCTTTATCATAGCAAATGCATATAGCAAAATAGCAGGGTTTCTAAAATACCTAAGTATTTACACTACTAGGAAGGTATAGAGATTAAAAAAAACAACCAACCAAAAATACCACCAAACAACCAAAGTTTCAAATACAAATCAAGATCATTTGATTTCAGCACACTAGCAGTAGCAGCCAACATAAAGTAAGATTTCTCAACACCATTTCAGACAAAAAGTCTGGAGGCAGAGAAGAACTACTTAAATTTTCAGATAGTGTGTTTCTTGTTAACCTACTGAGCTTATTGCTACATTTAGTAAATTGGTTCATACCTTCCCTCAGCCTAAATGCTGTCTATGCATGCAAATCTCTAGCTCAAGTTTCTGCCCAGGGAGGTTGTGGAGTCTCCCTCACTGGAGACATCCAAAACCCACCTGGATGCGTTCCTGTGTGATGTACTCTAGGTGACCCTGCTTTGGCAGGGGGGTTGGACTAGATGATCTCTCGAGGTCCCTTCCAGCCCCTAAGATTCTATGATTCTATGATGAAATGGTACTTTAATGAGGTTCAGGGAGTAGTGTGCTGATGTATGGATGCTGCTAATGCCAGAATTAGGTGCAGTGGTGATGCAGCTGCATATCCAGTAGTTCTGCCACACTGCTAAGGCACTTATTCTGTGCTGCCGTTGAAATTGCTCTAAATTACTGGAGCATTTTATAGCATGGACAGCTGCCTGAGTTTGGCTAGTTCAAGTCTGATAGTTCCAGTTTATGCTTAGTTTGAAGATAAGCCTTAGTCTTCCAAAGAAAATAGCAGTTTATGGCTGCAAGAGCCATTTCATCTATGTGGTATGTAAATGAAACCCTTTCAGCATGTTTTTAGTGAAGAGGAAGAATTAATAGAGCATGTGCCACAGGAGAGGAGATTTTATATTTTCATGTGGAATGTCTTTCCAGAATTGCATGCAGCATATAAAACACTTTCAAGAGCTCCTAAGAACACTTTTTAGAAAACCTGTATATTCAGCAAGTTTAACTTATTGTTCTGTCTTTTTTAAATCCATTTGTGTGGCTGTTAAATGTGATAATACTGGTTAACCAAAGTAAATACTAAATAGCCTCACATTCTGCTCTGCCTTCTTAAGGACATTAAAACTTAAATTCTGGAGTATAACTTTATGGTCTATTGTTAGACATCGGTTTTAATTTGAGCCACATTATTTTATTCACTGTTGTCTTAAATGTTTGCTCTGAATTACTTGTAATTATAATACCTCAGGGTACCCAGAATCAACAGGTACAGTATAAGACAACATAGCACAGCACCATTTAGAGTAACGTTTCTGGATTTCGCTAATGGAATTCTGACTTGATATATAGATGCTTGAACAATGAGGTGTGTGTGTAAGTTTACAAGAACCTGAGTCTATTTTTGTCTTAATATTCCAGTCAGAGCAGCAAAAGAAACAGCGGGAAGCTGAGAAACAGCATCGTCAAGAGAGGAGAACTCTTCGGCGTTCTGCTAGTCATCTCAAGAGCAAACGTGGAAGAGGAAGACTGTTCCATTGATGTATTTTATGTTTTTTTTTAAATAAACTTATTCTTAATTGGAAAAAGGAACTTTTTCAAATTGGAACACAGTACCATTTTCTTTGTATTTTGATACAGTGATGAACACAAAACCCAGAACTTGCTAAACTCTGTGTTAATTATTGAAAAGTTTATGAAATTGAAAGTATCAACCAAAGGACACTACAAGTATGTTGTGTTATAAACTCCAGCGTGAACTCTGTTTGTGCAGAAATCACCAGCAACTGGTTATTGTGTAACCCCAGATGTTTTCTATATAAGAATTTATGTATATAACGAGGCTGCTTGTCTTTTATTAACTTTTGGTTTTTGCTTTCTAAGATCTTTATTTGTGACTGCCTGGATAGAAGATCAGAGATAAGTTACTTTGTCTAAAACCTTATCTTTACTAGGGGTACAACAATGTATATTTTTTAATGATCCTTGAAGGATGACACATGATTGTGTTCTTCAAAACCTTTGGCTTTGTATGCTTGGGTTGCCTTAGTAGCCGGAAGGAGGTACAAATGGTTGTGATGAGGGCAATTGAGAATGCCTGATATTTCTCTAAGTCACCCAATAAGGAAGCCCTCTCTTGTCACACCAGTGTACAGGGGAGAATCTCAGTGGAATATCTTATTAAGTTAAATGTTTTCAGTATTGCCTTTACACAGCATCCTTAGAATAAGGTTTAATATGCTTTGGTAAGCCAGCAGTGGCACAACACAGGTAAAGTGATATATGTTCACATAACAAGCACATGAAGGCCATGTCAGTAGCCTGCTATTCTTCAAAAAGTTAGTTTAGTTAAATAACTTGAGAAACTAGAACCTAATTTAAGGAAATTATTGATTCTTTTCTGTGTCTTCTCGTTGATTCCCAGAAGAGTGCTTGTTGCTGACCAAGATACAGCACTTCTTGATTTTTGTCTTGCAAACCCATAATTTACAAAAGTAGTTCACCACTTAAATCAATTTTTACCTTTGTTCCAAAAGGAGCTTTGCTTATTTTTTTTTTAAAAGCTTTATAAAATGTCTCTTCACCAAGGCCAAGAAACTGAACTTTGTATCCAACAAGAATCAGTAGATCTCCCCCATCACTGTATGTCTTGCAGAGAGACTTGGAGGTTCTTAAGCATTTGCTTTATAAACCAGAGGGGTTATTAATCTGGTCAGGACTCCAGGAAAATGTTTACTGTAGATTTTTTTGCAGTTATTTCAGTAAGAACCTTGGGTTCTCGAAGCCTGATACATTGTTGCTGTTAGATGATAGAATAATGAGTCACAGGGTTCAATTTAGTTATATTGTTTAATTTAAAAATGCCTTTTGTACCGAATGTTTCCATCTTTAAAAAATGCATTATAATCATCACCTCTCTGTCCTTGTATTCAACTAAAAGATGAGTCTCCTGGTATGTATTTTTTCACTTCTAGCTGTCCATTTTTTATGCAGTGTCTGTTTAACACAGAACTATCCAGTGTTCCAATGTCAGTGTCACCCATGCTGTATACCAAGAAGTCCCATTATTCCTTCTCCTCTTAAGCCACTGAGAAAATGAAACGCAGTTGCGGTTGCTCCAGGCTATGTCCCTCTTTTTGTATTTTTGTCTTTTGATAACATTCAAGCCTTTGAAATCCAAGTGCAGCGACAAGTTAAAGTTTGTACTAGTGCAACATCTTTCCCCTGGAGCACTGTGTTATCTCTCAGAGATTATCTGCATGCAATTCAGGTGTGTCCGCTTCGTTCACATGGCTGTACAGAACGTGGAAAGATTCATGGTGGAAACTTGCCACCATTCTGGTTGATACAGGGAGAACTGGGGATTAGGTAGACAGAACTGGCACTGCAAGAGCAGGAATTTGGAGGAGTTTGCTCCTTCTCGTGACATGCCTAAATCTCATTACGCTTGATCAAGAGCTAGAGGGGCATTTATGGTTCAAGGCATCCTTATTTCAGCAGTGGCTTGGTTGCCTGTCAGTAGCAGTAAAAAAAAGATGCAGTTGGTCTTCAGGGTAGTAGTGACCTCAGTTTGGAATGGTTGACTTTCAGCTTAAAAAAAGTGTATGTCTTCTGTTTTGAGATTCCTCTGACTGACATGTAGTTCAGTGTTTTGCTTTTCTTGCATTTACAGAGGACTCATGATAATAATGGGCATGTATTTAGACTGGAGCTTGTATGATTAGAGGAAGATAGTTTGTACTGTTAGAGAGAAGGCACATGCAAACTGTCCTTAGCACACCTTTTTATTTCACATAAAAGATACTTGGGATACACTTTAAGTACTCTTTAAATATACTAGGCATAAGCAGTGAGATGCTTAGACCTGAATCTGATATATCACCTATACTTTAGTACTTTCTTACTCCACAAGGAATACAGTTTACTTCAGATAGGCTGTTAGTCATTGAACAAACTGAACCAAAACATACCTGTGTAATGTTCTTTCCAAATTGCTGTTACCAAGCCAGGCAGCATGCTGTGTTCCTGTGGCTGGTTTAGTTGTCTGGAATGGAGAGCATCCATCTGTTTTTACAAAACAATGAAAGAGTTTACTGTACCTCACTTCTGGGTGAGGTACACTTTTTGTTCAGTACTTGAACAAAATAGTGAAATATTTTTTAAAATATTCACCTGCATAAATAGCAAGCATGTGTAAAATGTATGTGCATGTTTTTTATACTCATGAGGTTCATTTGTGTATGGTACTTAAAATAGCTATCATTTGAGATTACCAGTTTCAGGAAGAGTTGTGAGGGAGGTTGTAATAGTTTTTTTTTTAATTATTCCATCCTGCTTCACAGCAGACTTTTATATTTGTGTCCTCTGTGTTTCCAAATGGGAAAAAGAGTAGTAGACTTGAATTCCAGGAAGAAAGAACCAACTTTCAGCTGGAGGGCAGTGAAGCAGTACAGTAGTTTACCAGGGTAGACTGTGCAATGTCCACTGAAAGATTTGTGTTATCAAGTTAAACATATGCAGGAACCCTGCAGGTATAGTGGAGCCTCCCTTGAGGAGGAGAAATGGATTAATGAACTTCAGAGGACCTCTCTAACCCAATGACTCTGGGCATAAGGAAGAGAGACACAGCATTAATTGACTGGAGTAATTTTCCCCCTTTGTCCCAATCATCAACTGAACTACTCACTATTTTTATCTTTTTATCTCTTTCATAAAGATTAAATACTTTTTTTGGCTTGTTTCCATAGCTAATATATTTTTTCTGATCTTGGGAAGTATGGGGTTTTTAGGCTGAATGAAAGCACATAAATCTATTAATAAACTTCAGCTCTTGATCATTATCTCTTGGGTTTCAAAGCCCATTTTACTCAACAACTGACTCTTTGTGATGAACATGAAGAGGTAGTCCTATCACCAAAATGAGCAATTTATAGTGCAGCCTGCAGAAAATAATCAGATCTAGCAGAGCTTGGTAGTTTACACAACCAGAGGAGAAAGAATTCCTGCATTTTAAAGACTGTAGATGGATAACTGTAAATCTTGCAATATGGTTCTTAAGTCGCTCTGTCTATAAAACTGGGTATTGCTAATTTCCACACCCACTCTCCCACCAAAATTTGTGCACTCTGTGTGCCATTCACCTCTCTCATGACTCCGTTCATGTTAACAGCATTTTCCTTCCTCCTTTGCTTTTTTCAATTTGTCCCAGACCCTTGATCCACACTGGGTCTAGTGGTAACTTTCTATGGATAGTGTGTTACACGTTACCCTGCATTTATGCTGTAAGTGGCATTGTGTCCCATGGTACAGACTGGTTTGCACACTCATACATCAGCAGGGGTAAAATAAGCTGATTCCGTATGAGTGAATGAAAACTGCAGTGACTGTGTGTCATCCATACTGTGTAAATTCAGAAATGTATCTATTGCTGACTGTGTTTTTCAGGGTCTCATGTTATGGTCTCTGCTTAGTGTCTTAGCCTGTGGTGCATGTGCAAGGAGTGAAGGTCAACTCTGAGCATGTTCAGAAAGGAGTTATTTTTCTCTTTACCATTTGAAAGAAACAGTTGCAGTGGGCTGTGTTTCCTTTCACAGTTACATCCAGTTAGGGTTTAAGTACATTAGTTTTGCAGCAAGATCAGGTATTATTTTAAAATCTTGTTGTTGCCAATGTGTTCATGCTTTACAAGTGCTTTACAAGGAGCTGCTTTCCTATGAAGGCGAGTTCTTGTTCCCGTTTAATTCTGCATTGAGTGGGACAAAAGTGAAAATCTCACTTCCTCATTAAAGAGAAAACTAAGCAGTTGAAGTGGGAAATACCAGCCCAGCCCTAATCAAAATTTGTACTCCCAGTTCCTGGAACCACCCTACCCTTCCCTACAGCGGTTTCTGCCACAGCTGCTCTGTCTCTTGTGCTTATTATCTCTTGTTTTAACATCTGGCTATTTCTTGTGCGGTGCCTTTCTCTACACTCCAGTTTTTCTATTAATATCAGGATCTGTAGTACAAATTAGTGCAGCTATAGCATGGCTTGGGGAATGAGTACTAAAATGGCGGTAGTAGATCTTGAGCAGAATGGATTTGCATGAACTTGGAGTTGTGGAGAGCTGTGACATCAAGGTGCACAGTGGGGGTCTGGAGAGCTGGCACACACTCCTGTGCACCTGGTTGGCGATATGCAGGGGGGACTGTTGCTTTAAGCCCCCCAAATTCCACTATGCCAGCTCTACCTCACTAAGTATCTGGGTGTTTTGGGTGGGGTTGTTGTGTTTTATAATTTTTTTAAAGAATTTTGATACTACATTAATACATTTGCAATATACAGTTACATAAATGCACAATTACATTATGTACAGTTACACAAAAAGTTCAGCATTTGAAAGCATGCAATTATATACCATCTGACTTCAGTAACTACTAATACTGTGACCATTTTGTTTACCAACATTTCTTCTGTAATATACTTCCAGATATATTTTAACCTTTGTAATATCTCAACTTTACATCACAAGTGTGTATACAGTAGGGGTCATAAAAAACCACATGCCTACCTGTAAGGATTTACTCATCTTATGCAAATGAGAATGTAATGAAAAGTAATTATTAGGATTTTGCTGCTCTTGTAAACTGAATCAGAAGGGAAGTTTGCAACACTCTCATCATAGCTACCATGTTTTTTTCCTGTCCCAGATGTAAATGGGAGATTTCCCAACAGGACTATGACACTGTTCCCCTGAAAATATGAGGCAATATTTTCAACAGATCTCCACAGCAAATAAATATCCTCTATCTGAGATATTTAAGACAGGTTGCAACAAATCACTTTTGCACAGTGCCATGGTAACTACAGTGATGAAATTTAAATATCAGTAGAAGCAGAGC